GAGACCACGCCTTTCCCCGCTGCTCGGCGTGGGTGCGTGACCTGCCGCCTTTATCGCTGCTTCTCCTTCCGCAGAACCCGGACATCGCCATCACCGACAACGTGCTGCACTTCAGAGGTGGGGGCTCCGTCCTTCGGGGGGGTGGAGGTCTTCTGCAAGGCCACGTCTGCTGCCTGAGCCTGGCCCACTCGGGTGTGCGGTGTCCCGGGTGGTACCCACAGCCACGGGGGGGGCCCGGTCCCCATCCCTGTGCTGGGTGCCGGGCACGTCGGGATGCATCCTGACACCCAAACCCGTGTGTTCCAGCGCCCGTAAGGATAGCGGGCCGTATCTTATCTAATAAGAAAATTTGAATATCAGTGAAATTTCCATATGTCTTTGCTCTCCTGTTCCAACCGAACCCCGGAGATAACTCGCAGCAATTTTTCCTTTCAACAAAGCCCTTGTTTGTTATCCAACCTCCGCAGCGGGAAGGAGCGCTCGATTTGAAAGGTAAAGCAGCTCCCATCCCAAAAGATGGTTTTGTTTCAGCTGGGCGGCTGCACGCTGCCGCGCCGCGGAGCTGGTGCTGGTTGCCTTGTTGGGTACCGCTGAGGATGTGCTGTAGCCTCTTCTTCTTTGAGTTTTCTTATTTATTTGGTGGTTTTCTTTAAGATGCGTTGTCTAGGAAATGCTGCCTCCCTGGCGAGCCGGAGCCGGGGCCATTTGATAGGGTGCCGTCGCACATCGAGTTCGCTTCAGGATCAGTTTACGGCGTGGAAGGGTGGGATTTAAACTCAGCATGCAGGTTTTTGGGGCGCTTCTGGGGACAAGACCCACGGACGTGGGAAATGAGAGATGAACGGGACTCCCCACGTCATGCTCCTACGGACCCACCAGAGACCGGTCTCCCTGGGCGCTCGCTCATCGGTGCGGGGGATTTTCGGTTGGATTTGAGTTAGGCGTGAGCAGCCTTTTGAGCTCCTCTTTTGGGAATCTCACACGTTGCCTTCCTGCAGTCACGGACCCTTCTCCAGCACCGTGCAGAGTTGCAGCGGCTTTAGCTGCTGACTCCAGCGACTGCACCTCCGAGCAACGTTTTGGGCTATTTGTGTCTTCCCTGTTACCGTGCGGTTTCCTCTTGCCTCCCAGCAAGGCAGGGGGAAGCGCTGTGAATAACCCCTGAATATTTCTGCCTACGAAGCGCCCTTTGCAGGTGGGGTGTGCCCAGCTGGGTAGAGCCTTCACGCTGACCGTTCCTTCTTGTCTTCTAGCTCAGGGTCATGGTGCCAAAGGGGACAACATCTACGAATTTCAGATTGAGTTCCTAGAAGCGGTTGAGCCTAAGGTAGGTATTTTTTACTTTTCTAACTCTTGCAAAGAAAAAAAAACGTTTGAAAAACTTGAAAGGAAAATGGCTGTGTGTGAAGTCCGAAATAGAGCGTTTAGTTTTTCCTGGTGACTCTGTAACCGCTACAAACTAAAAGCGGTGTGTGGCAGTCCTCCGTCCCGGTGCTCAGCCGCTGTCCTGCCTTAGATGGAGTTTGCGTGGGTCAGCTTTCGTACAAACAGGGCCTTACGTGTATCAGTTGCTCAACAGGAGTTGCAAATTTTTTTTAAGGATTTAAAGCAGCAAAATAGTGGGAGAATCTGGCAATGTGTTGTCTGATGCAACCTTGACTGGAGAGCAGGGGAACACTGCTGCGAAGTGTCAGTGTGATGTTTCCTGGCTTCTTTTGCAGCCTGACAAAATAAAGTCGTGAACCGGTGCTTCTGGCTCGTGCAGATTTCTTAGGTTGCCAGTACCGAAACGCTGCGGCTCCTATTGCAAAAATCTTTTCTTAATTGCTGTTGTAGCCTGATAGGAGAGAGCTTGGCTGGAAGAGCAGCCCTTCTGCGTTACTCGCAGGGGGCTATAAAGTCTGTCTTTACCTCTCAAAGCTGTTAGGGGCACAGGAAAACTCTGGGCTCTGCTCCCAGTGCAGGATTTGTGCCGCTTATTTCTGGCTGCCTGTTGGGGATGGCTGCAGTCAGACTGGGAGCCACCCTTCACATCTGCTGCATCAACAAGGGAGGAGAGTGCTGGAGGGTGAATTTCTGGGGTCTGTCAGCAGGCAGGTTTCTTGTGTGGCTCCTACCAGGTATCGAGTGGCAGACGAGGAACATCCCTTGGTGCCAGGATCCAGTCACTAGTTTGTCATCTGTCCTGTAAAGCAGCAGCTGCCTGGTCCCAGTGTGGGGAGAGGTGCCCACCACCACCCGTGCTTGTCCCCGGTGCTGGCAGACAGGGGCTGTGCTGGGAGCCAGGCCTGGAAGGCAAACCCTCGCCTCTGCAGAGCAGCCTCCTTCCAAAAGTCAGGTCACTGTGAGTCACTGTGGCGGGGCTGGAGGAGAATCGACTCTGTGAAATCTGTGCAACTACAGATGGTCGGGATGAGGATGTATTGCAGTCCAGGGTTTTCTCTTTGAGCTTTGATGTGCACCATGAGTCCATCTTGCTGGTGCCAGGCTGGCCACCGACGAGAGATGGAGCTTCCAAGGGGCAAGGGCCAGGCGTTGGTAGCTGTAAATCACAGCTACAGCCTTCGGATGTCCCAGGAGCATCCAGACAGCCTTGACAACGCAGTGCTGGTCTAACATGCTCAGTTAAGAGCGCAGTTCTTGGCTCTTCTGCATCGGTTTCAGGTGGTAAGAGAGGCAGTCCCACGCAGAGCACCCTGGCGTAGGCTGGAGGTGCGGAGGGATGCGATGGTGGCAGTGAGGGTGGGCACCCGAGTTGACAACGCTGTGGGCTGTAAGGATGGAGAGGTTCTGGGCTGCCGTTGTGCAGAGCGTGGCCGCGGTGGAGAGGCCTCCTGGGGTGGCAATGACCACACTGCTGGCTCACCGTTGTCTCCAGGTGTTTCCTAAGGCTGTTAGCTCTTCTCACTGTAGCAGATGTCACATGGGGTCCCCTGGTTTGGACACGTACCTGTGGCTGATGGCAGTGTTATTTTTACCACTGGCTAGAGGAAGCGGGTGGCTCACAGCACTAAATGCGAGAAGGTCTAAAGCCAAGACCATGGGTTCTGCCTAGGAAGGCTAGCGCTAGGGTCTGTGCTAGTGCTTTGTGGTGGGATGCAATGGTGCTGTGCGGTACAGGCAGGCTTTCAAGCTGGTGGTTGAGTCCTATATCACAGCCATCACGGTTGCCATCTTCAACTGGCCTGGCCTTTGCTTCCATGCCGTGGCTTGGGCAGCAGAGAGACGCCTGTGCTGCAGCAGTCCATGTCATCCTTGCATCCTTGGTGGGGAGAGCTCGGGTATCAACTCAGCCTCAGCGCTGCTTTCTTAGGACTTTTGCTGATGTATGCTCTTGTGTCTGCCCTCAGCCTGTATGCAGGGTGACTCAAAGGCAGCTGAACATCACTGTGCAGAAGAAAGAGAGTAACTGGTGGGAGAGACTCACCAAGCAAGAGAAGCGCCCGCTCTTTCTAGCTCCTGACTTTGACCGCTGGTTAGATGAATCGGATGCTGAAATGGAACTGAAGGAGAAGGTCAGTCCTGTGGGCACACGTGGCTTGTGCTGCCAGCTACAAAGCAAGGATAGCTGTTCTCTCGCGCTTGAGCTGGAGTCTGGCATGCTAATTGTTAGCACTGTTTCATACAGAAATTGGTTAAACGGTTGAAATTGTAAGCAGGAATTCAGAAATAGGCATACTTCTGGCTAGAAAGAGCAGCAGCACGAATCTGAACTGGTGGCTGTGGGCTAGCTCAGCGCTGGTCCGGGTCTGCAGCCAAAGCCTTGCACCCCTTGCCCGACACCTTCACAGCCCCGTGTCCCGATCCACATGAAGATCATATCAATGTGCCATATGGAGCCCAGAGACGCCAGTCCTGGGCATTGCTTGTCTGGAAAGCAGGGATTTCTGAGGTGCTTTCCGGAGCCGCTGGGCTGGCCCTGACGGTGAATTCCCACCATCTGGTAAGCTCGAGGAGCTTACTGCAGCAGGGATGTGCAAGACCATCTTGGAAAAGACTTGAACAAACCGCATTTCTGCAAATCTGTTTTACAACAAACGCTGCCCTGTTCCCCTCCACAGCCGCCGAGCTTAGCGCAGAGGAGAAGGGGCTGCTGCAATGCCAGGAGCCAGAAAGCAGTGGTGAGGGCAGGCAGAGAGCCTGGGCTGGATGGTCTCGGTTCCCTTCAGGTCACTGGTGGATCATGAGATCTTTTAAGGAACAGCTCTAAGAAACAGTAATAACTCAGAATTTACACAAAAACCAGTAGGCTTTTTCAGCAAAAGCATCTAATTACTAGAGTAAAATACATAATGAAGGCAGGATAACTAGTTAACACCCTCTGGCTTTTACTGTACTATAATTTCTGGATGATGAATGTGCTGGTTTATGCAGGTGAAAATTTAAACCCTCTCGCAACCGGCTGCTTAGCTGAGTTTTAAACCCACTAGCTTTGCAGTAGTATAGTTAACAAATCACTTGCTAATTACAGTAACAGTCTTTAAAACCTTATCCTTCATCTTAAGGAAGAAGAAAAGATTAACAAAATGAAAATAGAATCCAGAGTCCCAAAAGACCGTAAGTAACCGTACCTTTTTAGGGTGCAAGGTGGGGTTTAGAAAGCTTCTGTCACTCTTACATGCGAGTCTCAACTCTTACGGAGCAATTTTGACTGGCTTGGTGCATCTTGGAGGGGGATCTTTGTATTGTGAGCTATTTAGAAATTTAATAAAAATGGACTGCAGTTTCCAAGGAATTTAAAAAATCTGACTAGCAAGAATTGAGCTCTAGCACATAATGGTAAAAGTAGGCAGAACCCCTAGTGCACACAGCAACCCTTTTATCGCAATCAATAGCTTCCCTTTTTCTTGTAAGCTTTATTCTCATACAAAGCCTGCAGCTGTACCCTTTGCAGAAGTGTTACCACTGTACTCTGCTCACCTGATGTATTTATTATTGATTGTAGCTTTCAAACACCTGAAGAAGGGATACTTAATCATGTATAATCTTGTACAGTTTTTGGGATTCTCTTGGATTTTTGTGAACATGACAGTACGACTGTTCATCTTAGGAAAAGGCAAGTAATAAGTGCTATTTTATTTACGTTCAGGATTTCGTTTTGGTTTTCAGTGTTGTTTTTAACACTTTCTGAATAGTGAAACCTGAAGGAAGACGTATTTAGGAAACAAAACCCTAAACGCATCACCGAAGCCCACAACAAAAGCCTCTCAAGAGCTATCACAGTGTCAAGGATAGGAAAATACTGTTCTCTTGTAAATCACAACTGCGTATTCTGATGAATGATACTTGTACTCTGCCAAGATTGCTTCTAAAGAAATCAGTTGGAGCAAAATGTTTCACTCGCTGCAATGTTAGTATTTTTGAAAATGAGCCGGGCAGAATATTTTGTTTTTGAAGCAAGAACAATTCATTCTGTTGAGGTACAGCGCTATCCCTTTTTTTGTAAAGTAATTACTGAAATGGCTCTTGATCCTTCTGTGTGTGCAACAGAGCACTTGAGCAGTGTTTCTGGCCTAACTGCTGCGCCTTCAAGATAAGGCCTATAAAGAAGTTACATAATTACGCATAATGTTTTTTGAAATGCAACTCGAATCCTGTTATTAAAAGCTATGCTGCTGCACCAGCTTCCTGAACCAGGAACTTAATTCCTTCTCTAAAATGGTTTCCCGTGTCTTACAGATTCCTTCTATGATACATTTCACACTGTTGCTGACATGATGTATTTCTGTCAGACCCTGGCATTAATGGAGATCATGAATTCACTAATAGGACTGGTCAGATCACCGCTGATACCTACTGTAATGCAGGTAATATTTTAAGATTCTTCTCCTTGCTCCCCCCCATATTTAAAGTAGATCTCTATTTTACGCAAGTGTTGAGACTCTCCTAAAATAAGTGATACAACCTGACTGGCGCTGGACTAGAGAATATATTATTCAAGAGGCAGGAATCCATGCTTCCCCGTCTTAGCTATGGCAGGCTGTCTTCTTCCGTCACCTAGGTAAGATACGTCAGGACAACAAAAGCAAGAAACAGCTGATGAAAAGTACATCATTTTGATTTGGTGCCAGTGCCCTTTTTATCCTGGTTGTGGTGGTTGTGCCTAAAAATGAGGACAGATGATTTAAGACTAAGTCCCTTGGATTGCACCTAAATACAGAGCAAAATGCGTGTTCATAAGAAGCTCGGCTGCAGGGTTAGTTATGTGCTCAGCACGTGTTTCAGGTGTGAAGAGTAGATATCCCGCGTGTTTTTGACAGCAGGGACGTGCTCTTTCTTTCGATGAAGAGTGTGACTGTTCCTTAATTTGTTTTTCTTAAACAGCTGTTCGGAAGAAACTTAATTTTGTTTGTTGTCCTCGGAAGCTTAGAGGAAATGCAGAGCAAACCTGTGGTGTTCTTCATGTTTTATTTCTGGAGTATCATTGAGCTGTTCAGGTTTGTGGGATTTTTTCTTCTAACAGATGTGTACGGAACAATGTGGTTGTTCCCAAGAACTCTTTAAAGATTTTGATCTTTGTACGTTTTGGAATTGTGGCACTAGTGCACTGGCCCCAGAGAGTAAAATCTCCTTTGGACACAGACTATCACAGCCTTCCTAGGTTGCTCCATCTGGCAAAAGCTGCGACAAAGCTGGAGCCCGCAAATCATACTGCCCTGAACCTGAGGAAACCGGTTGCTTTTTTCCTTGAGGGTTCTGTTTCTTTGAATTTCCATTGTTAAGTGAGCTGCACTATGCTCTGTTTCTCTTTCAAAAGAAGTATTTTGAAAGGTTTATTAGGCAAGCCAGGCAGTTACATTCATCCATATGGTCAGAATAATAGTGTTAGTTCTGTCAACTGCCAAATAAGGATGTGTCCATCGTGATCCATATGAACAATTTTTTGAATATTCTTATGAATATGTTGGCTATACAGCATATATACGCAAGACTAATTCTAGTAGCAGCTTCCATTTTAAATAGTGTCTGTTTCTTCTCACACTGAACGGTTTTAGGTATCCGTATTACATGCTTTCATGCATTGGTATTGAATGGAAACCACTAACCTGGCTCCGTTACACTGCCTGGATCCCTCTCTACCCTTTAGGAGCCTTGACAGAAGGTATGTCCAAAAAAGTTTAATGAACAACGAAGTCAAGGCTGGGCAAATAACTCAATTTTTTGTTTGGCTGCTGGACTGAAAAATAATAGAACAGATAAGTAGACCTTTGCTTTGAGCTGAACCAAATGTAAGCATTTTTGTCTCTCTTACTGAATCCAATCTTCTTTTTCAATTTGATGTGAAAAGAAGTCTTCCTTTTGGGGACTGGAGAGGAAATTAAAGGCACCGAAAGGTTACATGAACACACTGACCAAAACCACGCCGCAGTCCATGCAAGTGGCACAAGACGACAATGCTCGCTTGCCTGTGCTGACCCAAAGCGGTGTGTTTGCTTTTATCTGCTAGACCTCACTTGCTCAGCCTAGCTCGGGTTCCCACCAGCTTACAGATCTTGACATTATAAATGATTGCACAGGACAGGCAGGGGCCAATTCTTTCTCCGAGAGCAGCATGGCCTGTTCCGAGACGGGCATGGTGCTTCCCAGGTACGGCTCTGTTCCCTTTCTGCTTTGCGAGTGACTGCTCGGTGGAAGAAGCAGGCCCTTAGTCTTCTTGCTGTACCCCCTCAAGGGTGAGGGGCTTTACAGCGAAGTCTTCTGTCTTAACAGATCTGAATTATTTTTAATTTTTATTTATTTAAGAAGTACATCACTGCTCAGCTTCTAGCTGTAAGGCATGTGTTGTAATCGTAGCTGTCGGACGCGTTTCTATGAGCCAGGAGTAGGCTTGGGCATCACCCAACTCTAAGCAAAGGCAAGACTTTGCCTGTTTTGTTGCTGTGGGTATTTCTCCATGGTAAATACTGCAGGCACGGGCCCTGCAAGCTACAGTTGTGTATGAGAAAGGTGTCTCGCCAGGCAAGTTCGCTGTGCTTAGACTTTCATGGCCGAACTGCTGTACTGCCTACGCTACCTGCTTGCCATCATACTGCATGTTTAAAAAAAACAGCGTTAAAGTTGGTGTAATTAATGAGAGCTAGCAAACGAGAAGGGAAAATCCTGAAAAAGTTGGCGTGGGCTGGGCAATTGTATGTTTTGTCTGTGTTTAATAACGATGGTGGTCTTCTGCTTTCAGCCGTCTGTATCGTTCAGTCCATTCCAATCTTCAGTGAAACAGGGAAATTTAGTCTGGGATTGCCAAATCCACTGAATGTCACAATCCAGTTTTCATTTTTGCTTCAGATATACCTTATAGCCTTGTTTTTAGGTAAGATACTTAATTGTATTTCTCACTATTGAAATAAAAAGGCCGGTTTCCTCTGAATAAATGTATTTTTCAAAGAAAATTAAATTCCTGCATCTTGGGGATCATGGCAATACAAAATTGCTTGAGGTTAAGCATTATCCTTGTTGCTTGTTTATGTAAATTTGTCAGTGATGGAGGGGAACATGCCTACAATTAGCAGTGGTTAGCCCCCCAAGAAGGAGACCGTGGTAACAAGGTAGCAGCGTTATCTACTGATCACTTGGGTTAAAAGAATAATTTTCACTTGTATTTATAACCTCAGTATACTTAGTTTCACCTTTTACATGGTATTTGAGCTTTGGAATGATTTAGTGGAAATCTAAACATTATTTCAAATTAAAGCAATGTTTAACTAAACTGCATTATAATCAGTAATGCAACATGAAGTCATGTTTTTCCAGGGAACAGTATAGAAGGCTCTGTAAATAGTAGTGTATTTAAAGAAGAATGGTGCTCGATACATACTTGGTTTCTGGTGTTACATATTAAACATAAGTTAACTTTGTAGTGTGCACGTCCAGTATGTCTGGGTATCCGCAGCTCAGCAGAACCTAACCTAGAATTTTAAACTGAACTTTCACTAGATTTCTCTCTTTCAGAGACATGGCTTAAAGAATACCTTTAATCGAGTTTCACTGACATACCTGTTTGATCCTTCCCCAGCTCTACACAGCTGGTGTTGAACTTTTTAAAAGTGACAAACCAACCTTCTGAGCAGCCCGGTACCAAACAGCCTGTGCAGCACCTCCTGCCTTGCTCAGCAAGAGAAAACTTGTGTAATCTTTCAATGCTATACACACCCTTAAACCATCACTTTTCTGTGCGGTAGTTTGGTTGGTTGATTTTTGTTGTTGTTTGTTAAAATTTGGTACAGCCATGTAGTGTGAAAAAGATGCAATAATGTCCTACCTAAACACTTCATTCTTTTTCAGGGGTATTTGTAAACTTCCGTCATCTCTACAAGCAAAGGAAACAGCACCTGGGACCAAAGAAGAGAAAGATGAAGTAAAGGAGGACTGCAGTGCTTTCTTATCTAACTTATCTCAATGACAAGATAAGCTTCTAATTCTTACGGTTTTACCCACTGTAATGTAAAGAATTTTGTAAAATTGAATGATCACGCTAGATTTCATGATTTCTTAGTGAATTCAGGTAACATTCCCATATACTGTATTTTGTTCCCTTTCAATCATGTATGCATGGCATTTACCATTGAACAGTAACATTGAAACTTGTATCCTGTCAGCTACCACATTAGAAAGAAATCCTATTATCTGCATATAATATGCTTATAAACAGTGGAGCAGCACTAAATAGAAATAGTGTTTATATTTTAATTGGATATTTGCTCTTTCAGTATTGCATGCAGATAGGGCTTCTGATGTCGGGATATGCTATTAGCTGGCCCATGCTGTTTCTAGGGCGCATCTTGATGGCAGGAGGAGCGCAGTCAGAGACCGCTGTGAAGTGTTTGGCTGTTTATTAACCATTGGAGTAAACTTGCTCAGCACATACCCTCCCCTTTTTTCTTCTGCAGCATACTGATGCTGCAGAATTAAACCGAAGTTGCTAATGTGAATTTAAATGCTACTAACTTAGTCTGTTTCTAGCTTAGCCTTAACAGAATAAGAGCACTGCGTGGACCCTAGCAACACGTGTATTCCTGTAGCAACACCTCCTATCCAGTCACTAGGGAAAGGAAGCTGCGACTCCGTGTCATGGTCAGAAATGCTTTCCTGGTTGGTAATGCAAGCACTGAAATATAACAAAATAAGGAAACATAGGTACTAGCTTTCTCCTAGCATGTGAACCCCAACAGAATTCCATCCTACCCATGCAAAGGGAAAACGTGGAACTGTCACGGGAGACCGGGCTCCTCTGATCATTCCTGGCAGGGCTGTAGCTCCTGTATTTGTAGCCTTCAGAAAGGCAGTAAAGATTGCTTTTCTACTTAAACTTAGGGGTGCAGCGGAGAAGTTGGTGTATATGCTTTGTTGGCTGGCCCCTGGTGGGATAGAGTGGTGAGTCAAATAAATCGTGTATTATTTAAATGGCATATATCAAATCTCAGTAAAGGAGATCCCACGCAGTCCTCTGTGCTTGCTTTAAACAGCAACAACAACAACAAAAGAGAAGTTCCCTCACAGTCCAGGTCACCTACTCTCTCACCTGGAAAGCTTTGTTTCCATTGACTTTGTTTCAACATGCCCCTCTTCACACCTAGCCTCCCGCAGTTAGCTCCAGATCCCTCTGGCCTTCTTAATCCAGCTTAGAAAATGCACAAAAAGTTTGCTCCAAACTGTATCGTGTTTATGAACAGGTTACTACTTCGCAACTGCCACTGCCCCCAGGGCAAAGCAAAGCAACTCCAGTGATCCAGAACAGATACTGAAGTTGAGATTAGCTTAGTTGCCATGTTACTGTTTATCTTTTTCTACTGTAAAACAATATGAATCCTCCAGAAAATTATTTTCTGTATTAAAGGTAATAAACAGCTTACTGTGATATGGACCCAGTGATTATTACTGTAAAGGCAAGGAAATGGTGTTATAAGGAGATTTTAACAAAGAAGTGGTACAAGCTCCACGCTGCATTTCAAAATTGTGGTCTGTTGACAAGAGGCATGATACCACTTCTCTTTAGGGATGCTTGAGACTCCCACTCAAAGGAGAGTGCAGCTTATTTTACTCAGGAGAGTTGAGCATTATTTACACACATATTTCACTTAGCATACACTGTACCTATGTTTGAAGTATGTCAAAGGATTGAATTAGCTGAGTAATGGAACAGCAAAGATCACTTTCATACTTTAATTTCTCTACCGGGCATTTAAACTTCTGTTATGAAATCCATGTGTATTCATACATTGTATTTCTCAGTGAAATTGTGGTTCCTAGTGCAAGCTGTCATGGATCTTACACTACTGAATTTTAGTCCTTCAGAAAGAATGTGTTTCTATTAATAAAGATTTACAACCAAATTTTGCTTTAGTTTAGTTGTTTGTTCTTTCCCTGAATGCAAGAAGTTGTGTAATTTACTGTTTAACTCTTGAGATAAGCAGCTGAGAGCTGAGCCTTCACCAGGTCAATGTTTTAGCTGCTATGAAAATGGAACAAATCCAACTTAAATTTTCATGAAGAATTACTCTTTATTAATATTACATGAATAAAAAATGTCTCACAAGATTAAGTTACTTTCACAAGCATAAACACTGCAATGCAAGTGATAGCTCTCATTATGGCAGTACAGACTGGCTTTCAGGTCAGGCATAAAATTAGTGACAACACCCTGAAATTAGCTGTGTATCAGGTCTTGCACAGTGATTCTCACACGTTTTCTTTGGACTACTGAAGTCAGTGTATGAAATATAGTAGCTGCCTTTTAAGATACTTTTACCAGTGAGTTCAGTTATGTAGTAACTGCATTTTGGGAAGGCCAAAAGCCATAAGCAGTCTGCTGCCTATGATGGCATTTTCTTTCTCTCCTCACATGTATTGAATAAATTCCACCCATCATCCAACACAGCAATTGACTTTGGGACGCTTTCCACAGTTTCCAGGTCTGACTAAAGCCACCAAAAACTAGCTACATTTATTTAGAGAGCACTGATGCAGGTAAGGGACCCCATTTTGACAGGAAGTTCTCCAAACAGTAATTAAACAGGCCCTAGAAAGTAAACAGGACAAGAAAATTTGAACCATTTCAGTCTTCATCTATAGAAGTAACCAAAATGGAGACTTCACATTCTTTCAGTGCTACTACTGGAAAAGTCTGTCTGCAGCGGAGCAATGTTATGATCATAAGCAGCATACTCCGATGCTCCAGTACTTGCCACTTTAAGCTGCTGAGCAGCATGTGTGAGCTGAAACGCTGCATCAGGGTGAGCCGTGTCAGGAAGCAGGGTGCACTCCCGCTCCAGCATGTCTGCCACGCCTTTCAAGAGGTCCAAAAAGCCAAAGGCCAGAGCTGCCTTTCGTAAACGATTAAGTTCCTACAAAGAAAGAAAACTCCTTTTAAAGCCACTGTAAGCCTTTACATAAAACGTGGGTTTCTTACTTCTTTTTTTAAAGGCAAGCGATTATTCATTTAGAAGAAAATAACCTGAGTGATCAGTACAGCTGCTGGAATCCGAACAGCTGCTCGTGAGATAAAAAAAATGCTTCAGAGCTGAAGATGACAGCGGCACAACTAAACAGTTGGTTTTCCCTTGATCCCTTCCTATAAATCTTCCCTTCTCCCTTTTGTGCATTCAGCTATTGTACCTGTCTGTTTTGTCTGTGTCCCAGCTGGGGGTGGCCTCCAACTCAGGCTTCACTGACTGCTGTCTTGTACCACAGTGTCCAGCAGAACGTCTATATATTGATTTTTCTTCACTATAAACTGACAAGTGCTTATGTGCATTTAGGCAGAGTATTCATTCCTGAAGTTTCTGGGGGCTACAATAACCAACTGCTTCACCACTAAGCATGCAAGAGGAACAACAACAACCTCCAGCTACAGTCTAGATTATGGATTATTACGACGTGGCCAAATGTGCCCGGAATTTTGTCTTTCTCTGCTTCAGTTGTAGAAAAAACGAAGGAGACATTTTCAGCCTCAGAATGACCTCTGTGTTCCTATTCCTCTCTGATCCCTCAGTTTATTTCTGCCTGGACAACAGCATAAAATCTGCAAAGAAGTTCACCATGGAAGTAGCAGGGATCATGAGAGGCACTTGTAAACACGACACATCTATGCCACCTTGCCAGAGAACGTGGTGACAGAGAAACCAGACCCCCTTGTCTCACCTAAACTAGTCTGTAAAACAGACCCAGGATGTCTCCTTCTTTACAGAACCATGTATGTTTTTGCAGTGCCCTACAAGCCTGCACAGAACATACCACAGACAGTATGTGTTCCTCTGTCAAATGCACCACTATCACTATGGACCAAACTTGGGCTGGTCTGAAACGTTACTCACTTTATAGAAGGTTTGAGTTTTTTCAGGAAGTTTCCTTGCATTTCTCAAGATCTTCTGTACATCTGTCTGCAGAAAAGAAAAAAACCCTAAACTTGGCAACTGCTGGAGAAGCTGTAGAAAAAATCCTCAATTATTTATTGATAAATTATCCTGACTATTGACAAGACTGCAGCTCACAAAGGCTGAAACATAAACGGCAATTATACTAAATCCAATAAACTAAGCCAGATGCTACACTGGAGACACAGCTTTCATTAAACAAGCAATGCTTTCCAATTGCATTTTAATCATGACATTTTAAAGAGGCAGTGTTTATAAAAATGAAAGAAAAGCAATAAAGCAATTACATTAAACAGACAAGACACACACAGACTCCACTTTGCTGGTGAGATGGCTACTGCTGATCAAAGTAAAGCATCAAGTCCAAAACCTGTATCATTACCTGGAGGCCACTTGGTTTAATCCACACGGTAACATTCTGTGCGTAACTGCGCTTGTTCTTCGGTTGCAAAGGGAAAGGGCTCTTATTGTCATCCTCTCCGTAAGGATTTTCTTTTGCATCTGGGAGAAAAAAGAAAATAAACAGACTTAACAACTACAATTTGGCAAGGTCATTCACCCAACACTGAATGTGTAAGAGTTACTTAAATGAGCATGACCAGTACCTGAAATGGGTCCAAGCTGTGCCATCTTCCCTAGCCATGGAAGGGGCTCAGGACCAGGTTCAAAGAGTGACATCATGAGGTTTGATTTCTTCTTGCTATCAGCTTGTGAATAAAGCATTCCATACCACTCTGGCCTATTGAAAAGAGCAAATCCCAAAGGCTGAAAATCTTCTGCCCCTCTTTGCGTAGAATTCGCCTCCCTCCCACTGTGTAGAGGCTCACTATTTGCATTTTACACTGGCAGAAACATATCCGCAATTAAAAATCCACAGCTTTGTCTAGCAGTGCAGAGTTCTGTACAGAATACAGATATAAATAAGCATAATTTATAAATAAAGCATAAATGAGCAAAGTAAGAGATTTTTCAGGCAGACATCCAGCTCCATACCCCAACTGGACGACAGCCACCATGCCTTCCACTTTGAGGCTGCCATGTAATAAAACACAGAAGTTAGGGATTTTCCCGGCAATCTGATTAGCTGAATTCTCATCTTCGGTGTCATCTGTGATCCCAGGTCCCACCTCATCACCTTCTGGGGAAAGATAAAAGCAAAAAAGGGAAGATATAAGAATAAATTTAAACACGCTAGTTCCATTTCCGTGACACCACCCTGTATTTTCTGTCATGCAACAGTTAATTAATATTTTTGTAAAATAAACAGCTGCTAAATACACTGTTTGGGCAAAGTGGCACTATAATGTTATATAAATATTCCACTGCATCCTACTCACAAAACAGAATTACCAAAAAGCTGCAAGTAAAACCTCAGCTCTGAGGAAACTAGAAGTGAAATGAAATGACACCAAGAGTCTGGCAACAAATACATGTCTGCGTCTGAACCAAAAGCATCCTGAATTTCAAGTCCTCCTCTCCTACGCAATTTGTGGTCATTATGAGTAACCTACTATGTTTTAGCAGCTGGAATACAGCTGTGATTTAACTGTTAGTATCTTCTAAGGTGAAAGGTCTAGCAGGATAAAAGTGTCAATACAGAGATGAAAGCATATCTGGAGCTTTCATTCTTCTTTACTCAGAGAAATCTTGCTTTCTCTTTGCCCCGCTTCAAGGCCATGACAAA